CTGGTTCAAAGCCAAGAAAAGCTGTTGAATCCTTCTCAACCACTACAAAGAATGATCAGGTTTCTACTGCTACTGTCATTATAGTTATTCATCACAACTTACTTATTTTTATTTTTTATTGAATCTGTGATTTCATCCAAGTGGGGGATTTCCTCCCTGATGCCGATTGGCACTTACTTTGCAACTTACAGTCTTATAAAGATGGCAGAGGCACAGAGATAAGTGATTTGCCCAGGGTCCTATTGCCAATATGTGTCAAAGATGGAACTTGACCTAGGTCTTCTTGACTCTGAGACCAGCTCTCTAGTCATTATGCTACAGCTGCTTCTCAAATAATTATAAAAAAGAGGAAAACTCTCAGGATAATAGGTACAGAAAATTTGTAATGACTCCCAAAACAACCAAATACGTAATTAGATTATTTTTGTCTAACCTAAATGGTGCCATAAAAATACTGCAAAGCCATTAGCTCTTAAATATGAATTGATAAAAATTAATATGCCCTATTACAAGCTGAATAATATTTAGAAATTAGCTATCACATAATATACATAGTAGATTAATAATAATAATAATAGCTATTATTTATATAGATCTTTGAGTTCTGCCAAGAGCTTTATATGTTATTTCGTTTGATCATCACCAGTCTGGGAAGTAGATACTATTATCCCCATTTTACAGATGAAGAAATTGAAACTAACAAAATCTAAGTGATTTACCCAGGTTCACAGTAGTATCTGATGCCGGACTCAAACTCATATCTTTCTCAGTCTTATTCCAGTATTCCATCCACTATTGTCAATTAGATGCTTCAAAAAGTTTTAGAAAGAGTGCTGGATTTGGAGTCACAGTCATTCAGTAAGTCAACAGCATTTATTAAGCACCTACTGGGTGACAGGCACCATGCTAACCACTGGGGACACAAAGAAAGGCAAAAACATAGCCTCTTCTCTCAAGGACTTCTAACAGAGGGGACAAAATGCAAATAACTACGTACCTATCACACACACACATATGTATGTATGTATGTATGTATGTGTGTGTATATACATATATATATACATACACACACACACACACACACACACACACATATATTCTAAATGAAAGATAATTGTTGAGGGAACCCGAGCAGGGATGGACCAGGAATGGCCTTGTGCAGAAGATAGGATTTGAATATAGTCTTGAAGGAAGATGGGGAAACTTTGAGTTGGAGGTAAAGAAGGAAAGTATTCTGGGTATGGTGGACAGCCAGGGTAAATGCACAGAGGTAAGGGGGAGGAGAGATGATGTGTCATGTGAGGAGCAGCAAGGAGTACCTAGTAGTATACCTAGGTCATGGAGGGAGTGCATCGAGGGTAGTCAAAAGTAAGAAGATTGGAAAGACAGGAAGGGTCCAGTTTGTGCAAAGCTTTAAAAGACCAAAAGAAAAATTTCTATTTGCTCTTTCAGGATCAAATCTTGGAACCACTGGAGTTTATCAGGTAAAGGGATAACATGGTCAGAACTAACCTTTAGGACAATCAAATCACCTGCTGAGTAGAATGGTGTGGAGTGGAGAAAGACTTGAGGTAGAAAGACCAAGTAGGGGACTCCTGGAGTTGTCCAGGTCTGAGGAAATGAGGGCCTGAACCATGGTGTCTTCTGCTTGAGTGGAAAGTAGACAGATATGAGAGATTTTGTAAAAATAGACACTGCAAGACTTGGCAACAGATTGGATATGTAGGTTGAGTACAACGGAAGAGTTGATGATAACCCAGGTCATGAGCCTACACAACTGGGAAGATGGCGGTTCCTTATAGTAAGAGAGAAGTTGGGAAGACAGAAGTTGGGAAAGAAGGAGCAGAGATAATGAGTTATGTTTTGGACAACGTGAGTTGAAGATTTCTATGGATGCCTATCCAGTGTGGGGTGTCCCAAATTGACGGTTAGCAAGGTAGGACTGGGGCTCAGTAGCGAAATTAGGGCTGGAAATATACTGTTCCTATGGGTATACTTTCTCACCAAGACACCCAGTGTCTGTGGAAAAAGTGAGATCTACCTTAAAGTACATAGTAGTAAAGCACATATGTAGAGAACACATGTGACAAAGTGGTATCTCCCAATTCCTGGTCCTGTAAATCCTTTGCTCCCTTCGTAGAGTCCCAGTGTAATTTGCTGTAGAGTACAGAGTCAGTAATGGACAAGGCATACTACTATTCAGCCAAGTCAAACAGGATGCTCACCTAAAGATCTGGTTCCTCACTGGACTCGGTTACTGCTGGACTAGTGTGAACATATTGCTCAGCTACTAGGCATAGCTGCTTCTGGGCTGGGCGACTCCACTGCTGCTGAGCCAGCTCTGGCTGGCCCCTCCATTCCCACCTTCAGCTTGGACCTCTAGCATGGCCTCTGATAGGACCTCTGGATCTTTGAAATTCACAGGGTCACCCGAGCACTTCCAGCTTGTAACCCTCATTCACCCCTCCCACTTTCAGAATAAGCTCAAAGTAGCCATGCGCTGCTCATACCCACAAAGGAAAGAGAGAGTTTAAGGCTAGGTTTTTTGTTTGTGTGTGTGTTTACCTATTTTCATTTACCCACTCAGTTCTGCTCAGGCCCCCAAGTCATTAGTTCTTCCTACTCCTCAATCAATTGGGAGCCTTCACCCTCACACAGTGCCAACCCCTGAGTCATCATGACTGGAAACTGGCTTCTCTCAAGTTTCCACATGGTCACTTAGACTGAAACAAAACAGGAGATATCTGCTCACCCCATTATAATTAGACATAGCAGTTAGGTCACACTTATAAAGATGACCTTTCTCAAACATGGGATATCATCCAGAATTTTGGAAGTCATTCTCACCCATCCCCCAACCTCCATGGTGCCAATTTTTACAGAACAGAAAATGAAACTTCACAGGCCTTGGCCCAGACGACTGACTAAAAACTTCTTGAGCTACAAATGCCTGAGCCGGTGATTTCTGAGGCAAACCTTTCAAAAACTCTGAAATCCCAAATAACTAATTACCTCATTTACATTATGTCTACATGACCCAAAATGATTAACTGCGTAATTTAGTCAGCCATCATTCATCCAATTGGGAAGGGGGCAGTGGGATACAATCAAACCAGTCACAAGTCATAATAAAGGGGCAAAACCCATTATTAGAATATGACTCTGGATGTTTTGTCTTATTAAAAAAGGAAGGGGCAGCTAGGTGGCACAGTGGATAGAGCACTGGCCCTGCAGTCAGGAGGACCTGAGTTCAAATCTGGCTTCAGACCAAACACTTGACACTTACTAGCTGTGTGACCCTGGGCAAGTCACTTAACCCTAATTGCCTAAAAAAAAAAAAGGAACAAGCTATGGAGAAGGCATATTTGTGTGAGTAAATCCAGGAATCACTGTGGGGAAGCATGATGGAGAACATTTGGGTGAAGATGAGTGGAGAAAGAAAGAAAAGTGACTTTGTCAGCAGAGTATACACTCTGGAGAGAAAAAAAAGTACAGATAAGGAATTCAGGAAACAGATCAAAAATCTCTGGCAGAGGCTTGTTGAAGGGTGATAAGGAACTTTGATTTTCCAAACATTTACTCAAGCTCTCTTTCTCCAACAAAAAACAGAGCAATAAATAAACATCTTTATTGCTTTGATGATAATTTCATCTTTCAAAAGGTAGCAGCAAAGTGAATTTATATTCTGGATGGGGTTCTCACTAACTAGAAAAACTTGTTACTGGATTGGAAATGATGGAAACTTTGATGGGGAAGTGACTACTATATCTCAAAATCTGTAATAGAGAAGGATGAGCTGGGAATAGGCTAACCTAATGCAAATTTTAGTAGAACATGTTTCAAAAGGTTCAGAAGAGGGATAGATAGAATCCCCTTGAGTAAAAGGGTCCAGGAGGGATGAGTAGGTCAAGAATGAAAATTTTAAAGCATTAAGGGAAATAATTCCAAAGAAGAGGAAAAATGAGTTTTCTCAAAAGAACAACGCACACAGAACTAACTAACCAACTTAGATTTTAAAAAAGAAATGTACAGAAGATGGAAACAAAAGCAGGCAACAGAAGAAGACTACAAAGACATAGAATAGTACTATAGGAATAGTGCCAGGTGTTCTAAAGCCCAGAATGAGCTATGGTTGATAAGGAAACAGAAAAAAAAAACACACACACACAAAAAGATGAGGGATGAGGGTTAGTTATGTTGGAAGAAAGGAAAAGACCAAAGTAGGGATGGGACCAACGCTTAAGGTAGGTGGGTCAATAATAACTGACGTCAGTGAGAAGATAGTGCTATTCAGTTCTTTTGCTTCTGTTTTCCCTGCCAATGAGAATGACGTGCACTGGAAAGATCAAAATAGAAATGATTAAAAGGGAGTTAATAATCAAGATAGTAAGGAGATGACGAAGGCACTCAGCAGCCCTTGTAAATTCAAGTACCCTAACCTAAATGAACTACAACTAAAGTAATAAAAGAACTCGCAAACATGATTAGTGAGCCACCATCAGTCATAAATGAAAGATTGTGGAGAATGGGAGAGGTATCACAGAACTAGAGAAGACCAAATGTTGTCCTAGTTTTCATAGAAGGAAAAAGACAAGAGCCTGCAAATTTCCAATGAACTCATCTTCAATTCCTGGGGAAAAAAAAAACTCTGGGACACACTGGTAGATTTTGTTAGCTCTAGACTTACTCTCCCAACCCACATGCGCCCTAATAGGTCAAAACCCCAGTGCTCAGCAGGCCTCATTCCCCCCTCAGGGTTCTGGGGGGTACCTTTCTGGTATCTTGTGGGGTCCTTCTAACGTGTCAGCTCAAGCCCCCAATATCAATCACCAGTGACTACTGCCCCATTATCATTTGCCAACACCAGTTAGATTCTCCTCATTATCATTTAACTATTTAATAGCTCTTTGATATCCCCAATAAGCAGTTAACATCAACTAGCTTTTTACAAAGTGATATTTATTGAAAAGCTATAACAAAACCAGAAGCACAACTGGGTCCACATTCTCCACCTTACCATTTTAGTCCCTGCAGAAAGTGGGCTAAAACTCAAAATGGATGCTACACACATATTCCTCCTTCCACTGAATTAATGTCCAGGTACAGCCCAGCCAATTCATGAGCTGCTTCTTTGCCTGTGGCAAATACATGGTGTCTTGGCATTGGGTCTATCCGCTGATGATATGGGTCAAGCAGATTGTGTCCCAGAAGTCACTGCTCACTGGGCTCAGCTCCTGGAAAACTCTGCTGGCTCTTCCAAACTTGCAAAATTCACAAGATTGTTCTCTCTCCAATACTCTTTCGCTTAAAATCAGAAAAAAAAACACAATAGGGGCAGAAGAAACATCAGGGCCTTGTGTTCATGGGCCACACGGGTTCATTGTCTAGTGGAGGAAATAAAGGCTTTGGGCATCTCTCTTCTCACCCAGGAGCTTACAGCATTTCTTCTCTCAATCACCACAAAGAAAGAGACCATGAAATTTAACCTGTTTGTCAGGTCAAATCAAGTTAAAAGAGTTGTATCCACCAAAATGAACAGGAAATAATGACAGAACACCTGCATATGCTCTGAACTGGGTGCAAAGCATGTCTATTACACATTATTATGAACATTAGAAACAAGCTCACCAAATCCTCTACGTGGGTTGGCAGCAAAAAGAGGCTCCTGCATATGTTCTGAAGACTGGACCCCTACTGACTATTCCCCAGGTTATACTCTATTAAAGAGATGATTGGTCATCTAGAAAAGGAAGCAGTGATTATAGAGAGCCAGTACAGCTTTACCAAGAACAGGTCATGTGAACCTACCTTTCTTTTCTCTTCTTTTTGCAGTTACTAAACCAGTAAATCAGGGAAATAATGTAGTTTTTTCTATAGTAGTAGATAATTTACCTAGATTTTAAACAAAATATTGGATAAAACATTTCATACTATTGATTTGGAAGTGAGGGAGACATGTGGGCTATATAACAGATGAATTAAGTACAGGTTAAATAGCCAGACTCAAAGGGTGGTCATTAATGGTTACATATCAGCTTGAAAAGAGGTCTTGAGGAGAGTACACCAGGGATCTGTGCTTAGCCTGCGATGTTCACCATTTTGATCAATGGCTTCCTTAAAGGCATAGATAGCAGGCTTATCAAATATACAGATAGCACAAAACTGGGAAAATAGCTAACACTGGACATCAGAGGCAGGACCAAAGAGATCTCAACAGGCTTTTGTTGCTTCCTGACCTCCTGGTTGTTAGACTTACCTTCCACCTCAAATAATTATGTATATGATTATATAGCATGATTATATGTACATATGTATATAAATGTATATATATATATATATATATATACACACACACATACATACACACATATCTATACCTACATCTATATCTATCTATCTATCTATAACCATAGATATACATAGCTCTCCAATAGAATACAAGCCCTGTGAGGGCAGGTTCTATTTTTCACCATATCTTTGTATCTCCATGAATAGGAACAGGGCCATGCATGTATTAGAGCCTTAATAAGTGTTTGTCAAATTTGATTGGTTTCAAGTATTATAATGGAATTATCAAAAAGGAAGAAAAGGCCACAGAAAAGTTAGGTGACTTGCCCAGAGTCACTCAGCTACTAAATGTAAGAGTTGAGATTTGTACTCAGGTCTTTTGACCATGAGATTCAACCCTCATATCAAGAATAAGAAGGTTTTTAGTTTTGGGGTTTTTTTTAATAATGGTAAATAACAAAATCAAGTTATTTAGGGGAAACAAGGATTTTTAATCACTTCACTCTTTAAAATCTACAACTTGATTCTTCCCTTTCAAAACTTATCATTATCACCATCTAATATTTATGAAGTGCCCATAATGTACTCACAAGGCATTCAAGAACCTCAGACTCATAGCTGTAATCCCATTCCTTCTTCCTTTTCATTTCTTCAGGCTTCCCATTTACTTGGTACTGACCATCTTTAAGGCATGTCAGGATTTAATATGCAATTCCCTTCTTCCAAGGATGATGGCATTGCACGTAATCCAGGGGTTTAAAGAAAATTGATTTTACATCCCCCAGACAGCCCAGCCTCGCAGTACAAATTCAGAAATCAATCTTCTCAGCTCCTGGAATAATGCATTTTGCATGTTCTCCAGATGCCGCTGCCATGGTGACAGAGTTGCCAGCAGCTTTCACTCCTGCCTTATTGTAATGAACTGCTTGGCTTCATTTTCAAGCAGAAGAGCTGGAAGAAAAAGCAGGGGCAAATATAAAATGAAGTACTTTTAAGTCACTCCCTCTCCTGTGTATCCATGGTGCTGGCCCTGCTAAAAATACAGCCATGTTTGTCCTAATATCCAGTCATTTCTCCCATGAAGAAAGTCTGTGCTTTTTTCTTAGTCTTAAAAAAAAAATCCCTGAACTCACTTACATCCTTTGATGAGATGGAATCACTGAGCTGACTATTCTGGGAACATTTTATTAGCTATCTTAAATATTTGCTGTGCAATCAATCAAATCACCCAAGTTGATTGGAGTCAGATAATGTGGCCAAAAAACTCAAGATCATTAATATTTTGTCTAAGTCAATTACTTTCAATATAACCATTATCAATGGGAGACAGTACACAGTAAATTACCTGTCAGCCACACCTTGCAAATTAATTCTGAGACTAGATTGTAGTGAAACATCTCTATCTCAAAACCAATACAGTGACTGTACTAAATAAACCTGGTTCTTCTCTCTATTTCTCTGTTTCTGTTGAGGTCACCATCATTCTTCCAGGCACAAAGATTGGAAACCTCAAAGTCTATCATCTGCTCTTCCCTTTTCCTTTTCTCTTCCCTCTATTCTATCTCCAAATTCTAAATATTTCCTCCATCACCCTACCCCCAATGACTAGAACTCTCACCCTCCTCTGCCTCCTGGCTTCCCAAGCTTCCTTCAAGTCTCAGCTAAAACCCATCTTCTGCAAGAAGCCCTTCCCAGTCCTCATAATCTTAGCACCTTCCCTCTGAGACTATCCCCAATTTTTCCTCTGCATATCTTGTTTGTAGATAACTGTCTATTGAGAGCAGGGACTATCTTATTTTCCTATCTGTATCCCGAGTACTTAGTACAGTGTTTTGCACATAGTAAGAGCTTAATACATGCTTCATGCATGCATTCATTAGACTATGAACTCCCTGAGGTTGGGGGCTGGTTTTTTTGTTTGTTTTTTAGCCCAGTGCCTGGGACATAGTAGGTGCTTAATAATTGCTAGTTGACTGACTGTCTCGCCATCTCTCAGCCTGTCCCCATATCCATTCATTGGTCACTTTCTATGAATTCTGCTTCAATGAGTCAATGAACATTTACCTCCTTAAGAGCTCTTGCCTGTGTCTCTCATAATCACTCATATAATCCCTGTCACTTCCTGTCTGGCTATTGTTACAGCCTCCTGACTACTCTTCCTGCCTATTCTCTCCTGGCCACCCTTCACGATGCTGCCAAAAATAATCTTTAGGCAGTCAACAGTGTAGAAAGTCACAGCAATTCATGTCGGATGAATGAAGCCACAATCTAGGAAAGACACTAATAACTTAGATCACATACAAAGGTGGGCAAGCAAAATATTGAGGGGCTTTGAGTCTATGTCATTTAAGTACCTAAGGCACAGAGACACTATATATACTGTAGTATATAGAGAGCTGGTCTCTCAGTCACGATGATTTCAGTTCAAGTCTTGACTTTGACCAAAACTGTTTGTGTGACCCTAGAAAGTCACCTACCCTCTCTATGCTCTATGAAATTCTCTAAGACTAGAAAGTGCAGAGAAGTCAATGCTGTGCATTGGTGGAGGGAATTTCCTCACCAGTTCTTAACCTCAACAAAATCACTGATCTGAACCAAAATTTTTAAAATATGCCTGGCATTATGCTTGGCACTAGTGATTCAAAGACAAAAATTCTGTACCCTCCCTGATGTCCAGGCATTCATATTCTACCAGTGAAAAGTCTGTACACATAGCATCATTATACATAAAAAATACATCCAAAGTAAATACAATTGCACACTAACTGACATTTTCTTGACACAGTACATCTTTATTCCTTCAAGATCCATTAGTATTTTATCTAAGTCAATTACTTTCAAATATAACCAAATTCAATGAGAGACATTACAGGTAATTTCAGCAAATTACCTGCCAGCCACACCTTGCAAATTAATTCTGAGACCAGACTATCGTGAAGTGTCTCCATCTCAAAACGAATACAGTGATTTGATTGATAGGGGAAATTTTGACAGCGGATGCATAACAGTAGAGCAAAACTTCACTTACGTCACATATTAGGTAGCTGGGGGGCATTGGGCTTGAGTCAGGAAATGCTGAGTTCAAATCCTACCTTGGAGACTTACTGGCTATGTGACTCTAAGCAAGTCACTCAGCCTCAGTTTCCTCATCTGTAAAATGAGAGGGCTGAACTCAATGGCTTCTAAGGTTTCCTCCAGCTCTACGTTATGATTCTGTGAAATGGAATGTTCTAAAGCAGTGGTCTCAGGGTTAAATTTCACGTTGTTCTAAGTTAATGCCATTTGTCAATTTTCGCTGCTACTAGCTCAGTCTTTGTTTCTCTTCACAACGATTTGTTGATCTGATATATTCCTCTGGACAAAGGCCTGGAAGCAGTCCTGATGCTCAGGGGAATTTGAGGTCTCTGTTCTATGTCACTTTATTTTTTTTTTTTGGTTTTGGAGGCAATTAAGGTTGAGTGACTTGCCCAGGGTCACACAGTTAGTAAGTGTCTGAGGCCAAATTTGAACTCAGGTCCCCCTGACTCCAGGGCCAGTATTCTAACCACTGTACCACCTAGCTGCCCTTGTGTTCTACATTATTAAAGATTAAACCTTCAAGAGCAGATTTTTGTTGTTGGCCTCAACTCTCCCAGATAAAATGTGTTTACAAACTTTCCTAACTAGATAAACAGAGTAGAGCAGATTCATAGCATTCATGTACGGTCCTCCTTCCAAAAATTCCATAAATATGAAGAATGTTGTAATAGAGGAGTGGACCTGGTTCAAGAGACCTGGGTTCAAATCTTGCCTGGAACACTACATGGTTGTGTGATCATAAAAAAGTCACAGAACCTCTCAGTGAATTATTTAATTTACTTGTCAAATGGGGATAACAAATGAATTAATGAGAGAAAAAGTATTTACAAAGCACTTACCATGTGTGAAAACTATGTTGAGGATATAAGCATAGACAACAGAAAAGAAAAAGCAAGATGGAGCCTGCTTTCAATACTTAATCGTAAACCTTGAATGCCTGCCTCAGAAGGTTGCTATGATAAAAACATTTTGCAAACCTTAAAGTGATATATAAATGTGTTATCTATACTGTTAATATAATTAAGATCTTCATAAATGCTACATTAGTCTGTACTGATAATAGAAAAGAGAGAGATGGCCTGTTGTCCAAATATTGAGACGACACATTAAGGTGCCAAAAACAATGGTTTTGTCTTCAGAGGACCTGAATTCAAATTCTGTCATTGCCAATTAGTACTTTTGTGGCCTTGGGCAAGTCACCTAACCTCTCCAGGCTTTAATTTATTCAACTACAAAATGGGAGTTGGAATAGCCCGAATCTAGCAATCTCCTCCTTTTTCTCTTCCCCTTTTCCATTTTTCCCAGTGAGAAAGTGAGGAGGATTATAGGGAAGAACGTAATTTGGGGAGTACTAGTCTTTCCAAGGCGATCACTAGGTGGCGCTATAGTGCATAGAGCACTGGGCCTGGAGTCAGGAAGACTCATCTTCTGGAGTTCAAAGATGGCCTCCAACACTTACAAGCTGTGTGACCCTGGGCAACTCACTTAACCTTGATTGCCTCAGTTTCCTCATCTGTAAAGTGAGCTGGAGAAGGATATGGCAAACCACTCCAGTTATCTTGGCCAAGAAAACCCCAAATGGGGTCACAGAGAGTCAGACATGACTGAACAACATGTCTTCTATTACCTATTAGATTGTCAATTCCTTGAGAGCACGGTCTGTGTCATACCTTCATAATTCCCACTACTTAGCACGGTCTTGCACATATAATAAATATTTCATGGAATGAAAATGAATTGAGATGTCCATCAGACTGATTTAATGAGATAACACTAGACTAATTTGCTGCCCTGGGAAAACTGAGCAGAATTAGAGAAAACTGACATTTGCCACCTTACACATTAGTCCTAAGATACTGGCACATTTGCTATCTATCACCATGGCCTAAGGCAAATTTTAAAAAGTTTTGTCTTTTACTGTCTTCTCTCTGTCTCCTTTTCCCTAGCCACCAGACATCCAGTGGTCTCCTGCTGACCTCTGGCACTGTTTTCCTAGGGTTTTTCATCACCAAACCCCCCTCAACATTCTTACAGATCTTCATGGCCTTGTCCTTGAAGCTTCCTCTGATCCATACCTTACCCAGCCCTTCAACCACCATTCTCCTACATCTTTTGATTCGGGTCATGGGAGTCACCACTGTTGGACTGATACTGAGACAGTCCCTGATCTCACTGCAGAATTAATAAGGAGAGATCTGTCTTCCTGGAATATCAGTCTAGAGCCCCGAAACCTTGTTATTGGTGACATTCAGGTGCAATGAGAACATTACAAAATAGATGAAGGTTAAGGTTTGTGTGGGCTGGATTGAGAACCTGGTCACCATTAATAGCACTGCTTTTAGAGAAAATGTATTCTGAGTTTCAAATAATTGGCTTATATTGCAGCATAGTGAAATAAACACCTGATTTGAGTCAGATGGCCTGGGCTTTTACTCTGATGCCTACTAGCTCTGGGGGACCTTGGACAAGTCACCAACCCTCTTTATAACTCCACTTCCTAATCTGCAAGATGGCAATAAATAATACTTGCGATATTTATATCAATGGGTTTTTTGAGGAAAATTGTACAAACTATGTACTGGTACATAAAGGTGGTAGAGTAGAAACAGTACTGAACTTAAGAGTTACAAGACCTGAGTTAGAATCTCAACTCTGCCATCTACCAACTGTGTGACCTTAAGCAAGTCACTTAACTTCATTGACATTCAGTTTCTTCATCTATCAAATGAGGGAATTGGACTACATCACTTCTAAGGTCTCTTTTAGTTCTAAATCTCTGATCTTATCATTCATTTGTAAGTTTGAAACTACCTATACCACGTTTAGATGTAGATGAAGGGGAACCCTAGGGTAAATATGAATGGAGCCCAGCA